CTAATTCTGATTCTCTATTCTGTAATCCTCTCTTCTCTTTCTTCCTAATGTTGTAATTACTTTTCAAACTATTCTTTTTTTTCAGATCTTAAATTTTTCACTCTCTTTCCCGCCCTTTCCTTTTTTTTCCCCACATAGAATTACTTGGTCACTGAAGATGGCTTCTTCTTTGTCCCACCTTTCTTATTCTACAGACATTTCTTGTTGTTTCTCATAGTTCAGGATCTCAATTTATCAAAATTGAGATACGAAGCCAAAAAAACCTCTTCCTTCTTGTGCATCTTTCTGTTTTTAAAGTTCCATTTTCAGTTCTTCCAAGAGTGATACCATTTTAAACACTTTTAAACAACCACCTGATTGATTTTAGTCATTCAAATCCAATAGCCAAAAATCCAAAAATCACCAAGTAATCCAAATAATCTAAAACTGTTTCTTCTTGCTTCCTTTTTCCACTTTCTCTTCCTGGGGTTCTATTATCTTGTTACAAAGTTTCGGGTAGAATGTATCTTTTAGGAATCTTGTTAAAGTTTTACTGTTAATTCCTTTCACTTCCAGGTGGTCTTCTCCATTTTTCCAGATCCCACCCTTTTGTTTTTTCCTTTTCTCTCCTTTCCTTCTTTTAAAATTTTTTGAAAATCCAGAAATATTTATTATCCCTCTGACATTTTATTTTCAGCTTAAATACTTGTTAATGTCAAAATGGATTTTTGTCAGTTTCTTACTTAAATCTCTTAGTTGTCAATATGGGGATGGAGAGAAAAAAACCCCAAATCCTTTCCCTTCCCTCTCTCATTCGCTGCTTCAAAATCTTCTTTGGGAACAATGGTATTCTTTATAGTTCAAATTCCAGAGTACCTTATGTTGTTGCTTTTTCAGTTCAACTCAGTCAGCCAAAACTTTCTCTTTTTATCTTCCACCTGCACATTCTTTTCCAGTTGAGTTCTTCTTTGAGGTGACCATTTCCAATCACCACTGCAACCACCTTCAGGAAAGGGAGTAATGGCCAGCTGGGGAGGAGAGATGAGGCTCTCCTCTACCCTGCTGGCAGTCTTCCCCCTTTTCACCACCTCTACAGGGTAGCTTAGCCCCAAAACCAGCCAGCTCGGGGAGCTCCAGTGGTGAGCACAGATCGAAACCATGCACGGTCAGGGATTTCAGTCTGTCGCTGAAGAAGCTCAAACCGGAAGTCTAGATGTAGTATCATTAAGGACTACTCATTAAGTACAGTTTGTCAAACAGTTACAAATTCATCTGGTGGGGATGCTATCTATCCTACATTTTTCTAGTTTACCAAGAAGTAGATTGTGGTCTATTTGTGTTCTCATTTGTTTCTTTTCCATGGTTGTGTATGAAATACTTGTACATCTTTTCAAAGTCTTAAATACAGCCAGAGTTGCTCTCAGGTGTGTTTATAAATTATCCCAACTGTTCTCCTGTGTACAGTACCCTAGGCAAAGGGAGAGAAAATTACTTTGACCGGTTCTCATCTGTTACCCTTAGTCTTCTAAAACCACCATGTGAATTCCTATTCAAGGATATAAGAATAGGTGGAATATGTAGAAACATGCATTGGTCATCTGCAATGCAAACCCCAAAGCCTTTCTTTTAACAAAAGTTACAATGTTGCATGCAAATATTTTGGAGAGTAAGAAAACTTTTGACATAATATAGGTTTTGTTGATTTGGTGAAATTTTGTACCTTGCCTAGTATCTTAATATGGGACACTGTAGGACTTCTGCCAGTGGTCAGCTGAGTGGATACACTAACTGGGTCCCAGTCTTTTGTTTCTGAAAGCATTTTGGCTCTTATTTCTTTTTTCAAAAGTACCAAGCAGCTAAGTATAACTTATGAGGAGGTCATGGTTTTGGAAGGATCTGAAACACGATAAGGGGTGATAATCTGAAAAGAACAATATGAGCATCCATAAGTCTTGAACAGTAAGATATGGAACAGATCCCTTGTAATGGGATCTCCTTGTAATGGAGATAAAAGTTGCAATTATTTTTTATATTTCTTATAATTATCATTCAAATGAACAATAGTTCCACACAACTCTCTCTGTGAGGAGAAGGGGTTTTTCAATTTTGATAAAATAAGCAAATAAACACTCCTGTCTAGCAAAAAATCTGATCTTGGCTTCTTTTGATGAAACAAAATCCCAGTATTAAAAGACCTAGGTGTTTTCTGTCCATATTTGAGATTTCAGTTCACCCTTACTATCTTATATTAAATCATTTCACACAATAATATTTGTTAATGAATGAATTTCAGTGAAAATCACTGAAAATTACAGTGAAAATGCTAATGAACATTTTTGGGCAGGAAACCTAAAATCTGGACCATAGCGTTTAGGTTTTCAAGAAAGCACAAGCAACTTTATTTCTTTCTGGTAATAACTTTGAGAGCCTGTGTGGTATATCCTGGACTAGGATTAGATACAAGTCAACCTTATCTAAAACTCTCTGGATGATTTGGAGTCATTAGTCTCATTCAACCCAATCAGCCTCAAAGTGTTGCTCCTTTTTAAAAATGAAGGATAATACACAAGTAAGGTGTCTAAAAATCGTGTTTGAAAACTGTGACACTAATATGAAAGACAATATAGGAAACAAACAAAATAATTTATTGTGTATCTAGATCTAGCTATAATAATCCATCATCTTGGATTACCGAAAAGGTCCTCATCACGCCCACAATAGCGATCATCCAAATTGTTACCAAGGCTATTTCCATCACATGCCAAAGGGGAACCAGTTAATCTATTTCATGTAGGCTGCCATTCAGGGGGCAGGCCGGCCTTGGAATTTGCTACAAAACCCTATGACTCCCAATCATGCAAGCTGCATGACAGCTGAGTGGATACACCAACTGGGTCCCAGTCTTTTGTTTCTGAAAACCTTTTGGCTCTATATTCGTTGTCCTCAGACTTGTGTTCATAGAGTTAACCAATTTTTAACCTGGTTCTGAATGTTAATAAAACAAAGGAGATCATTGCTGATTTTAGAAAGAAGGCTGCAGCTGTGGAGATGGTCCATAGTGTTAAGTATGGGTGGGTGGGTAGGTTGTTAGGTAACTAACAATCCAACTTGGTCTCTTAATAGGTTATCTTTAACGAAGTGTGCAAACCAGCTTTTGCATTTCCTACACTGGATGAGGAGAGCACATCTTTCTCCTTCTGTCCTGGCCACTTTTGACAGACCACATGATTGAGAGCGTTTTAACAAACTGCATCACTCTTTCGTTTGGTGGCAGCCTATAGAGAATGGTAAGGACAGCCAAGAAGATTATAGGAAACTCGCTTCCCATTATTCAGGATATTGCTTATAAGTCTATGTGCTTAGAGTTCAAAACTTTGTCAGAGACCCCACACACCCATTTTATGGTCTGTTTCTGTTGCTCCCCCCCCCCCGGAGGAGTTTTCAAAATGTTTAGAGCAGGACTACTAGATTCTGTAAAAAGTTTTGTTCCTTTTGCCATCCGTCTTGTAAATTCACAGGATTCATTTTTTTCACCATGTCTATGTATGCATTTGAACTAGACTGTGATGTTTCTCTGTGTCATATAAGTATGTGTGTGTGTGCGTGTGGTGTATGCATAATAGTTATCTGTTGAGAGCTGAATGCAACAAAATTTCATTTTAATGTATGCTGACTAATGGATGAGTATTCACAAATGATTATTGTCACTTAAAGTGACAGTAAAGTGTCTATTCTATCTACTCTACTCTACTCCACTCCACTCCACTCCACTCCACTCCATCCCATTCCATGTTACTCCATTCCATTCCATTCCCCAAGAACTGCAAGGAACTCTGCTTGTCCATCCCTGTGGCCTCTACTGTGAAAGGCAGAGAAGATACAGGAAGAAGATTCCAGCTCAGAGAACATCTGCTCATCTCAGGTGGATCTTTGGATTAATACCAAGATCAAACTCAGGGGCGGGATTCTACCGGTTCAGCCTGGTTCTATAGAACCGGTTCTTATGGTTCCCAGTAGTTCAGAGAACTGGTAAATCAGGCCTCTGGCTGGCCCCACCCCTCTCTGCCCAATTTTCTGCTCCCTGCCCAGTCTGTCCCTATCGCA